ACCACTGGCATAGATAAACTCTGGAGATGGGGACAGGAGCCCCTTGTTTCCTGGCCACCTGGCTTTATCTCTGCAGACCCCCGCCTTCTCTTCCCTTCTCAGCGTGCACTGGACTTCAGGGAGAGTAAGGAGGCCGAGCCCCACCCACTGTGGGAATACCCGTGCCACAGCCTCTCGGAGCCCCAGCAGATCCTGACCTTTGATTTTCGGCAGCCAGTCCCCCTGCAGCCTGTCCATGCTGAGGGCACCATCGAGCTGAGAAGGTGAGCGGAGGCTCCAGTGTCGGGGAGTGAGGAAGGAAGTGGCAGGGCTTGCTTTCTAATAGTTATTGCCTGAGTGGCTATAAGCACTTACTTTGGCCACTTTCATGTAGGTGGGATGGCTGTCCTTGTCTCAGCCTTGCCCTTCTTCAAGTGGCCCTGAAATGTGTGGGGGTCCCCATAGCTTCTGGGTAGGGGAAAGAGCCAGAGTGGGCTTGCTCATCCTCCCATATCTGAGGCTCCCTTTGAGCTCAGCCGCATGTTACACACAGCTGCAGAGAAATGTGAGTTTGGTTGCTATGGTTACCCATTGGACCATATTCTTTCCTGAACCCTCCTGGGAATTGAAGCAGCTTAAGAACTGGCAGGGGCTATCATCTTGCTACATGGTCAGGCCCATCCAGCTCCACCTCCCTTCACGGGGAGGGGCGTCTGCTTCCTGGAGGAAGCCACCTCTTGTAACTGGGTGGAGGCCATGAGCCTAGAGCCCCTTGGGGCTCCTCTGACAAAGAGGAGGCAAGGCAGCTGCTTGTCTGTGCCTGCTGCCCAGAGTTATCTGGGAGTGATCTAGACTTCGATGCCTGGACTGCTCTCTCAGCCTTCTGGGCCAACCTTTCCATGATCTCAGGCGGAGGAGGCCAGGCTGGCAGCCAGCTGGCCCTGCCCCAGGGTTACTCTGAATACTTGGCCAGACTGTGGGGAGTGAGTGGGCACTTTGGTTGCTCAGCAAGAGGGCCACTTTTACTGAGTGGCCTTCATTCAGTTTTAGGAGTCTTAGGAGTCTCCTGACAGGGCAGGATGGAAGTAGGGAGGATGAGTAGTTTCTGAAAAGCAGAGGGCAGCCATGGCCATGCCAGTCTTTCGTGCAGCCATTTGTTTCTGGTCCCTTTCCACCCGCCACCCCATCTCTAGGCCCGGGAAGAGCCACGGAGCTGTCCTGTGGATGGAATACCACCTGACCCCGGACAGCACAGTCAGCACCGGCCTCCTGAAGCTTGCAGAGGACAAGGTAGTGCTCTGTGCACAGGTCCCTGAGGAGGCGGACCCTGAGAGCAGGTGTCGTCATGCCAATCCTGTGTGCTCTGGGTGTTCCGGGTAGTGACTTCTCAGTGGTCCTGGGCCATCCAGTTCCAAACAGCAGTTTCTCACTGCAAGATGCCTGGGCTGGAGGCTTACCAGGAGGGGGCTGACTGGGACATCAGAAGCCCTCACTGCCTTCTTGCTGCTTTCTCTGCAGGGGGACTGTTGCTGGAACCCCCACTGTAAGCAGGCCGTGTACTTCTTCAACACCACACTCGACCCCAGAGTGCCGCTGGGCGGCCCGCAGACCGTCACCTACACTGTGGCGTTCCACCCCCACACTGGAGACATCACCATGGATTTCACGCTCTCAGATGCCCTGGACCGTGGGTGCTAACCCTCACTTGTTGAGAAATAAAGTGGAGGAGGGCTCTGGGCTCTGACTGGTGGCTTTCTGTGGAGAAAAATGAAGGCACCTTGCCTTTTAGGACCCATATTGGCCTCGGGGATTGGAGGAGACCACTTCCTATTTTGTGTTTTTGCTCTGCTGGCTCCTTGCTCCAGATGTGGCAGGAAGTGGGGATTACTTTGTAACTGAGAAGGGCCCAAGGAGCCCACCCGCAGTGGTTTTTAAAGTGCTCAGAGAGCTTCATGGCCACAGTGTCCCTCCTGCTCTCCCTGGGAGGGAGCCAGGGCTGACTGGGCCAGGTGGGTCTGCTACTCTCCTGGAGCTGGGCCAGCCTGGCCTCACGCTCTGGGTACCTTTGAGTCCACCTGCCCACTCCAGCTCAGAGAGGCTCCTATGGGCAGAGTTACTGATGTGGCTAGGCTCTGGGTCTTGAACACCTTGGTGGGGCCAAACTGAGAACCAAGTTCAGACTCTTTTTGTTTGCTAGGTAATGGCCCCAGTCCACATTTGTAAGGGTTTGGCCTCCATGTGCAGCAGCAGCAGGTGACCAAGACCAGCACCTGAACACCAGGCTGCTCTTCTGAAGTCAGGGCGGAGGCTGTCCCAGAGCAGTTCAGACGCAGATCCAGGATACCAGCCGGCAGGAGGAGGGAGCTGAAGGTACAGCCCTTTCCCACGTGCCCCCCTTCTAGCAAAAGGACCTCATTTCCCAGCAGCCTGGGCAGATGGGTAGTAGTGCAGGCACCCCAGCTTCGCCTTGCCAGAGGACAGGGAGTCCCAAGGGGGCCGAGTCTGGCTGCTTCTCACACACAAGGCCCCATTCTGCTGTTTACTCTAGTTCCAGAGGGAGTGAGTAAGAGAACCCACGTGGCCTGGTTTTTGAGTGGTTCAGGGCAGACTCAGGCTGTGCTTATCCCATGGGGAAGGTCAGGAAAGGTAGGCCCTGCACGGCGGTCTCCCCAGAGCCCCGCCTGGCCGCCTAGCCTACTGGAGTCAGAGCAGGGCCCAGACCAGCTTTTCACTCAAATAAGTGCAGAACACCAGCCTTGAGCCTCACAGTTTTATTTTTTTTTTCCTCATTATCCATCCTTCTTTTCAGCACCAGTAAAGGAAAAAAAAACACTTCTCTTTTCAAAATACTTTATCAGGTGTAAAGATTGTTTTTCTTCTAGGGAAGAATTGTTTGGATAATATATTTGATAACATTTTTACCAAAACCTTAGGTGTGCTTACCATAGAAAACCCCTAATGTCCCATGAGGATACAATACAGAAAAAAATACAGAAATTAAAAAAGTGTTTTTTTTTTCTTTTTTAAAACAGTATTTCTAAATTTCAGCAAGTTAATACAATAGTTAAAAAGCATCAAGATTAATACCCATACTTAAAACTGAAGGTGGTTTGGACAGATGAAGTGACCGTTTTTCTCTGAAGCTGACCTCTGCCTCCTGGCTTCTGTGGAGGAGGCTGGCCCGGGGCAGGTGCAGGGCCTTGGGGATTTAGGTGACACCTGTCCGTCCTTCCAGGCCTAGATGCCACAGAAACATCTGAGATGTTCCTTTTTTAAAAATCGAAGTGGAAAAGTCTGGCTTGTACACAGCCCTGGGGGTGCACAGGTTTGATGAAACTCGTGGCTGAGCAATGGCGGCCTCAGCACTGAGGCCCCAGAGGGCGGCGCAAGGGGAGTGGAGAGGCAGGCAGGCCCTTCTCTGGAGACCAGGCAGGCTGGGCAGAGGCGACTGTGTTAGGACGGGAGAATGACTGAGGCACAGGGAGGTATGACTTGCCTAAGGCCGCCCCATGAGTAGGGAGAGAAGCATGTGCCCCGTGCCCTGGCTCCCCTCCAGCTGCCCCGGGAGGCCAGCAGCCCCTCTGAGGGCTGGAAGCTGTGCTGGAGTCACTCCACTTCAGGACCAGGCCCTGCCCCCGAGGCTCTCCTGGGCACACAGCTGGCTCACAGTCTGGGGCCTTGGCTCAGGCCCAGACGTCTGGGTATCACATCTACCCTGTCGAGCTCCACCTGCGAGCAGATTTCTGGCCGCTCCTAGGATTGGAGGCCTCTGACCCAGGGAAGCCTAGCCAGGGCCCCAGGAGCCATGGCCCTGGAGGAGGGGTGCACTGGAGAGCCAGGGAGCACTGTACCCTGGATGGTGAGCTGCCCTCTTGGCTTGATGTGGGGGGTGGGGCTGGGGGCCTGGCCAGGGGAGTGCTCCAGGCAATGAAGCCCTCTGCCTAGTTGCTGCCCTGGCCAGGGGGCTTCAGACCAGCTCACACCACCTTGAGTGCAGCTCTTGGGAGTGTCCCCCTCCAGTGCAGGGCCTGGCCTCTGACTTTGCCCCTCTTGGTCCCTCTTGCAGCTCAGTGGGTGACAAGGCACAGCGTCAGCATATTGGCACCAGGAGGCTCCTGGTAGCAGAGTCCTGGTATGTCCCCAGCCTTGTTGGGCAAAACTGGCTTCAAGCCAGGTGGCACGTTGGTTGGGGCGCTGTGAGGAGGGGAGACCAGTGGGGGGTTGTTAGTAACCCCCTGAATTGGAGGGGCCTTGCACCTGGAAATAGACAAAACCCTCCCTGTGTGACTGGGGGTGGGGGGCATCCCCAGGTGTGTTTAAAAAGGCAGGTGGGCAGAGGCAGTGCTGCCATGGGGTGAGGAGCTATGGGCTTCCCCTGCAGGCTCTGCCACACTGTGCACAGGTACCCGGGGCTGGCCCTGGCTGCGTGGTGGCAGACTGGATGTCTGTGCACCTGAACACCAACCAGTACTGCTCCCTGCGTGGGCGAGCGGTGGCCATCGGCCTTGCTACCCTCAGCCTGCACGCTGGTGAGGTGACTGGCTGCCCTGTGCCTTGACCCCTAAGTCCCTTCATCCGGGGCTGGGGTCACTGTGGAGGATGGGCCTAGGAGGACAGAGCCGCAGCCCCCCCCCCCAACCCCCGATGCAGGGGGACGGTTCCTGAGCTCAGCCAACATGCGGATGGGACAGTCACCAAGGGAGGATTGGTCCTGAATCAGAAGGGTGTCCGGAGGGGAGACAGGATCAGGCAGAAAGAGAATGTGTTGGTTCTGACAGAACATAAGCTACAAATCTTACCGTTTTCAAAACCAGAAGTCCCCCTCCCCCCTTAAACCGTGAGTGGCCCTTCTTCCTGTAAAAAAAAAGGATGCTGTCTCCTTAGAGTCCTGTCTGTGGCTCCATGGCCCATGTTGGAGTCTCCAAGGGAGGCCCTGGGCTCTGCTGTGCCGGGGGAAGGGAGCCCCTTTCAGGAAGAACAGCGTTCTCCCTTGTGGCTTGCAGACCCTTTAAAGTGAAGGGTTATTTTTGTTCTTTTTCTGTTTTTCTTTTTAAAATGTAATCGCCCTTGAATGCAAGACCCTGGGAAAGAGCCCGGGCTCGCTGGTAACTGGACACAGCCTTCATGGTCCCTGCTCGTGAGCTGTCCAGGCTGGAGGCGGCGAGCTGGCGGTCTCGTGTCCAGGAATGCTTCTTTGGCTGGTTCTGATTGTGTTTGGAGTTTGGCCTTGGGTGAGGCCCGAGTGAGGGGTCTGTGGCTACGGTGTGGCACGTGGCATGCGGGCAGCGTGCATGCGAGGGTGCAGGCATGCGAGACAACATGGCAGCAGACAGAAACAAGGAACCCTGGACGAAGCTTGAGAAGAGATACAAAGAGTACAGAAACCCGGATCTCATACTAACCCATGGGTTATAACTAGGTTGTGCTGTAGATTTGTAGAAAATCAACGATTCGAAAGAATGGCACTGGTTGGGCAGCCGGCACTCCCCAGGCCGGCCTGACCCCTGTCCATGGCGAGTGCCCAGAGGTGCCGGGCAGCGCTGGTTCCAGCCCACCCAGGACTGGCCGCCGCTCTCCCGGGCCCCTGCCCTCCTCCGCCAGCACCAGTGGTGCTCGCTGGAGGGGACACGGCCAGGGAGGGACTGCGACTCAAAGGGCTGGCGGAAGCCCCGCTGCTCGTGGTGACTGGGCTGGTCTATGCCTCGTCGTCCCCTGCAGACACCATCAGTCGCATGGCCACCGGGAGGTGGTCCGTCAGGCCTGACAGCTGGGTGATAAAACTGAATTCTTCCACCTCCTGCGGGAGTGGGGAGGAGGGAAGGAAGAAACATCCCTGTTAGACCCAGAGGGCATCCTATAAAGCAGGGGCCTGGCTTGGACCTTCCTGAAGGCAGAGAGTGGGAGAGTGTCCTTGGGGGCCCCAAAGGCCTGCTGGACTGGCACGTCCCACTTTCAGAGGAGAGCACAGTGCTGCCAGAGGGTGTAGAGCAAGAATGCCCTGCTACGGGCACAGCCTGGCTGCCCAGCCCAGTCCAGCCCAGCCCAGACTCACAGCCTTCCAGTCCGGGCACAGCCCCTCCTCCCCGTGCAGCATGTAGTCGATGCGCCTGCCGTTGCCTTTCAGCAGCTCTTTGCGTCCCTTCTGGCCTCCGGGGCTCTTGCTGGTGGGGAAGGCGAGGTACTCACGGCGACCTTCCTCACTCTCCAAGACCCTGCCCACGCAGAAGGCACAGGAAGGCAAGGTGAGCACAGCCCCAGCCCCATGTCCTGAGGGTGGAGCCATGTTCCTGTCCCCCAAGTCAGACCAGACTCCTACATTTAAGATCTGTCTTCTCCGTGAGCCCAGAAAGGGACTGGGGTGGATAGAGACTGGATCTGAGCCTGTGAGTTCCTGACTGACTTGAGCCACTGCCTGGAAGTGTCCCGTGTCCACCTGGGGTTAGCAGCACTCACATTCCCTTTCTGAACTAGGACGTTGGCACCACCCAACACCTGTAACCAAGCTGGGGACAGAACTGCCCACCCCCTCTCCAGGTAGGGTTGTGCTCTGAGCTAATAGGGTCCTATTTGGGGGAAACTTGATCTTTGCAGTGAACTCCAGAGACCCTTCTCTTCTGGAAGTCCCCAGGACCCCCATGTCTCCCGTTTCAGGTCAGCAGGGGGCCAGGGGAGCCAGGAGAGCGCCCAGACCCCATCCTAGGACTGAACTCACGTGTCAGTCTGTCCCCAAGACCCCAGGACACTTTAAGGACCAGGTGTGTTAAGAAAAGAACAAAGTGGGATGCGGCTGTCGCCCCATTTCTCAGAGGAAGGAAACTGATGCAGTTGCTGGTCAGTTATACAGGGAGGGCAGGGCACTCAGGTGGAATTACACCCTGAATCCAGGTCTTCTGACTCCTTGTCTGCCTTCTGCTTTCTGCCAAGTTTTCTCCAGAGTCCGAGCACCGTTGGGAATGAGCCTTCAAGGGACATCCCATCTCAGAGGGGAGTGTTGGGGCAAGAGGCACAGCCACCAAGAGCCACTACAAAGGCCCACCCACCCAACTAATGCCTGGACACATGAACAGGGCACCTGGACAGGCATGGCAGCAAACACGAGTTTTTGCAAGGTCTTTTATCAGCCTTGAGATATATACACTAATGACACACAGAACATCATTCCATCTCAGAAATGTAATCCATTTCTGTCCTTTGCCTTTGATAATTAATTCCAGCATCAGTGATCTAAGAGTTACTGATAAGTCATTTTTAAATCTTCATCTCATAAAAAGATAATTTTCTCGGCCTGGGATGATGTTTCAAATTTAGTCTATAATCTAATTAATTGGCTCAAATTAGCTGCAAGGAGCCATCGCTGGGGCTCTGGGCTGTCTCAGGCTGTGAATTATAAATTGGCTCTGCTGCTGGCCTCTCAAATGTGTCCTTTTCAGAAGTCTCAGATTGAAGAATACAGTTTGGCTGGGGTGGATCTGCCTCTACTTTGACTGGCTTCTGTTAGCTCCGTCTGTGTTTTTATTTGTCTGATTGCTGGCTGCTGGCCCCCTGCCACGGATACCGTCCCCCAGGGCCCTCTGACAGGGATCTCTGCGGCGCCTGTCGTCGCCCTGGGAGGTTGTGGTCCTTTTTCCTGTGCCTGAGGCAGGTTGGGGCTCAGGGCAGGTCAAGCTGTGGTAGAATGAGCCCAGACTTGGGGTGCTGGTATAGGAAAAACCACCTTGAGACCCCAGGCCTCCTTGGAATCCTCTTTTTGGTAAGGACACCCCTGGGGCATGAGGTCCACCACAGCCTCTACCCATCGCCAGCTTGCATCCCTGACGCTCTTAACAGTCGTCTCATCCCGGGGAGCTGTGGGCTCTCATCGGCCCACACAGCCCACCTCTCCACACCTAATCTGGGTCGGTGCTCATCCCAGACCTGGGAGCCGCGTGGGTCTGCCTACTCGCCTGACCATGGCACTGTGGATGCTGGGCACTTACTTTTGCAGATTGTCAGGGGTGCACACTTCCTCATCATAGAGACCATCCTGGTCCAGCAGAGTTCCTGGGGACAAGGGGGTGAGAGAGGTTACTGTGGGCAGGAGGGGCAAGCCCAAGGCTTTTGCTGGCTGGGCAGCTCAGGGCCCCCTCCCCCCAATGGTGAGGTCTTGGGGAAAGGTCTCTTCAGGAAGCCCACGGGGCGTCAGGCCTCGGCACTGTCCCTCCTGCCCCCGCGCCTGTTCCCAGCCCCAGCTCACCAATTGCCCATGGCTTCTCCTCCCCAGGCCCCAGGCGGCAGGGGTCCTTGTAGCGTGTAAACAGGGAGTGCTGCTGCTCCAGCTTGTCATCTGTGCAGGAAGGGAAGGAGTGCTATGGGGCTCAGGGTGTCTGGCATGCCCTGGAAGTCTACCTGCCTCTGGTTCCAGTTTGACCAGAGTCACCTGACCCCTGTCCCTCAGGTAACTGCTTCTGGGTAGGGTCTGTTCCCAGACAGATGGAGCTATGGTTCATCTGTGACTGGCTTTCTGTGTCCTTGAGAATGCCCCCTCTAACAGCTGTCAGAACTGTGGCTGGTACAAAGTAAGAGCTGAATACAGACCTGGTGAGTATCATGAGCTAACCCCATTAGTCTGGATTTCAGAGACTCCCTGCCTTCACTGCCAGAGGTTTATCTGCAGGGCATCTCCTGACCTCCAGCAAGGTGGCCTCTAAACTCTAGGCAGAGCAGGGGTTCTTATTCTAGGATTTCTTGAGGGCAGAGAAATCATATTCTCACTAAACGTCCCACTTCTGTGCTCCCAAGGAGCAAAGCCCATGCCTCCTCCACGGTCGACCCTAATGGGGAGGAGCCCGCCTCACCGGAGGAGCAGTTGTCAAAGTTAAAATCTCCGCAGATGACGTCAAACGCCACCAGCTCCTCGGGGTTGGCTGCGCTGGACGAGGAGGTAGATTTTCGGAAATCAGCCAGCCAGTCCTGAAGCATGTTCAGCTGCTCACACCGGATGTCACTGTCCTCTGTGGGGCGGAAGCACAGAGGTGATGAGGCTGCTGCCTGGACCCCGGCCAGGCGAATCCTAGCCCTCTGGAGATCCCACCCCATGAAGCTCGGGCTCCTGGACCCTACCTGCCAGGGCGTGCAGGTGTGTGCAGGAGATGTACCCGACAATTCTTTGGTCCTGAGGTGTGCTTCCCACCTGCACCTGTGGGGGGGAGGAAGTGTTGGTGATGAGACCTAGAGTTAACATTGCTCTGAGCACAAAGGGATGCTGGCAATGCCCGACCCCAGCCAGGTCTAACCCTCAGAAACCCAGCTCTGTTGACTTCTGGCTAGCCTGGGGCCTGAGAAGAACAGCACATCACCTGCTTCTAGGAGCTTCTGCTCCAGTGTGGGAGGCAGATGCATGAAGAAATACCTGTTTTATGGCAGGGTGAATACCACCGACAGTTCATGCAGCACTTTGTGGGAGAGAGATGCAGAAACCACCACAGACCTCCTCCCCAGACTCCTGCCATCTCCTGACGACTGGAGTGTCCACACGAATGTCCCTCGCTGCTTTGTCCACTTGTGTCTGATGCCTCCTTCCTCCTCCCCTCGGTCACACCCTGGACCTGATCATGACGTGGAGCCTGTTGCTCTAAAGTCTTAAGTCAGGCTCCCTCTAGGATGTGGCCCAGCCACATAGCCCAACACCCTCCTCCCGTGAGAAGCCTTGGACCTTGCTCTGTCGTCTCTTCCCAGTCTTTGCCTCTCTGGCTCCATGAGCAATCATTTTATCTGCTGCTTGGCTGTGGTGCCCATTAGTCCCCAGATCTGGGATGACAGCTGTGGCTGGTGTCTCCATGGCACCTGTCATGGCTGACCCCAGGCTCCCCTGTGACCTCTGCCCCATGCCCAGCGCTTCCTCCACAGGGGCCTCTTTCTACTTGCCCAAGCTTTGTCCTTGCCTCTTGTACTCTTCCACTGGAGACAGAGTCCCTGGCAGGTGGAGTGGGGCTGAGAGCTCCTCGCTAACTCCCTGCCGAACCACAGGTGACTCTGGCAGACCGTCTGCACGGGTTGGCATAATGAAAACAAGCACCTCAATTGTACAACACAGACAACTCGGCCCCAGTGGTGAGTGTGGTGCAAGCATGAGCCCTCATCAGGCTGTGGTTGGGAGGTGAGGGTTGACGACCCAGCCTCGGGTTCTCAGGCCCTCTGCTGGAGGCTCCATCTTTGGGCACCCTGACCAGAGGCCTCTGGTTGGATCCTCACCCTCGTCCTCTCTGGGCTTTCCTCCCTCTGAGCCTCAGCTGTCTTCCCCAAATTTTGCTAATCTATTCTGGCCTGGGTTTTCTGTGACGACGAGACCCTGAACTCTGGGAAGTCCCCAGGGAGCATGACCATAGAGGCCAGTTCTTAGCTGAGGTGTGGCAGCAGCAGGGTGGGTGCCCTGGCTTCTACTGAGCACAGGTCTGCTTGTCCTCCAGCTGACGGTGGCCAGGACTCAGCACAGGCCCTCTGCTCCTAGAGCCTCGGGAGGCGTCCATCCTTCTTTCTATTGCTGAAGTCAGACTGGCATTCCCCTCCATGAGGACTTTCTCTTTATTAAACACCTTGAGCTTTCCACAGCTCTTCATCCCATTTCCCAGGGGGATGGATGTCTGGTTACTTGATAATGGGCCCAGATTTGGGACTGTTGATAAGTTCCTATGTTCACCATTCACTTCTTGCCCGTAGTCCAAACCCACAGCTCAGCCCAGTGGTACTCCTGCCTCTGGAATCCCTTGGAAATCACACACCATTGGTGCCACCTGTTGCAAAAACAACACAGTTTAAAACCACAGTGCTCCCAAAGGCCGCACGATGGTGCTCTCTGCATCCTCAGGCCAAGAGCCTGTTCTCTTCTCAATAGTAATACTCATGCCCATCAGTACCAGACTGCTGCTTCTTGGATGCGGCCTTGCAACTATGAGGATTACACTAAAGTTAACACCATCGGTGGCTGGGGTCAAGAGGCTCTGGTGATTGAGGCAGGTTGAAATCTGATCCTCACACCCAGCTCCTCCCCCTGCCCTACGCTACTTTCTGAGCTGGTGACTGAGCTGAGCTTTTCAGCGGCCAGCCATGTGATGTTTCTAGTGCAGGAGCCCCACACTCAGCACTTGATGTCACCTCCCTGTGCCGAGCCCTGGGCGGGCACAGACAAGTGCAGGGAGGCCCTGCTGTTGAGGAGATCCCTCCCGGAGGGGAGGCACCCAGCAGAATGTATGTCAGCCCTCCCACCCCCTTCCTCCAGTCAGTCCAAGATCTGCTTTATTATGTGTTGGGACTTATTGATTCCCTGGCTTGAGTCCTGGGGAGCCGCAGAGGCTCATGTTTCGCTTGCAAAAACAAACAATCACTCTGAGATGCTGTGCCTTTAGTCCTGGTGGGCAAAGACGGTCAACAGAGCAGGACCTAGAACCAGGCTCTTGCTCAGGAGGCAGAAGCCGGTCCAATCCCTCCCTCCCTTCTCAGGCGCCTCTCAGACCCTCTCCAAGGATGAGGAACTCATGGAGTGAATGGGGAGGTGGGGCTGGGTGGGGAGCCCCAGGTGAAAGGAGCAGCCAGGCTCTGCTGGGGCTGGCTCCTGAAACCTCACTTATTTCACTCCTCCATGTGGAGAGAGAGGCACGCTCTCGCCCACAGAGATGAGCTGGCTCTGGTGTGCCAGGCACCGCTGCTCCGCTCTTGAGTTCTGCCTGACAGGGGAGGTGGGCCGCTAGGCCCTGGGGCCAGGGCTGAGGAACCCGCAAAGGAAAGCTGGCTTGTGCTGGATGCCACCAAGGAAAGCTCCGCTGACATAGGGTGACACATGGAGGCCCCTAAGAATGTGGCTGGAGCAGAGCTCGGGGAGGTTGACAGGTGGAGGCTGGCTTCTCCCCGAGGCAGTGGGAAGAGGGTGACAGGAGTCAGACCCGACACCAGAAGGATGGCAGAGGAGGGAGGACAGCCCCAAATCTCAGAGGAATGGTGGCCTGAGCCATGACATTGCAGCTGGACATACAGGGTGGACCCAGAGGTATCTGGAAAGTGAAATTGGGAGCCTGGGGGTGGATTCACTGGGCTCAGGGTTACAGTCCTCAGCAAGTCTGGAAATGGAAGCTGCAGAGGCACCCCAGGGCAGGTTCCTGGGGCCGACTGCCCATGGTAACGACTCAGCAGTGAAGAGTGCTAGCTAAGTGGGGTTGTCTGCTCTGAGAGCTGCCAACCCCCAACGCAGGCTGGGAGCTGGGCAGAATGCAGCAGGCCTGGTGCTGCCAGATTTGCCAGGGCGGGGAGAGGAGCTGCAAACTGGGCTCTATGTGAAATAGCTTGATTTTTAAATGTTGGCCAACATGAGAAATTTTTTAATGGTAGGAACCAAATTAAACATATCTGCAGACTAGTTTTAGATTCAGGAGGTAGAGGCAAAAGTGTTTAAAGGATGAGCAGGTGAGAAGAGGCCCGGAAGGAACAGCCAGAGAGCTAGGGGCTAGGAGGAAATTCCATGGCAGAGGGGCTGGCCCTGGTGTGCATGATAGTTGGGGTGCTAGCCTGAGGGGAGAGAGAGGAGGAGGTGGTGTATGGGCTGGCAGCAGGGTTAAGGAGGACCCTGGCCTTTGAGTTATCTGTAGTAGGGCGGGTACAAGGGAAAGGGTACATTCCCCCACCCCCGAACTGACAGCATGTCGGCTCTTTCCCCAGAAAGTCACTCCGGCTGCTGAGACAAAAATACATCTGTGGAATGAAACACTGACGAACCACATACCAGAATGGGGAGGTTGGTCTCCTGTAAGAGGAGTGTCTTCAATTTCAGCATCTCAGGCTATGAATGGAGAGCTGGGGACCCCAGCTCTGGACCTGCTGAGCCACACAAGAGGCCTGAGCACAGGAGGGGGGAGGTCTGGGTGCTGGGCTGGGGCCCTGGCAGGCTCCATGCAGATGATCTCCCTGGGCCCTCACTCCTGGGAGGAGCTTGGCTGACAGGCAGCAGCTTCCTGGACAGGTCAGAGCTGAGGCCTGGGGATGAGTGCCCCCCATACTGGGCCTCCCCAGTAGCCTCACCAGCCACTTCCATCACGGACCCCTGCTAGCGCAACTGAGAAGTCTCAAGGGGAGTGTGGAGAGAATCCACACCTGGACCAGTTGCTGCCTCTACGGGCAGAAATGCCTGTTCTATAACAGCTGGCTTCAGAAAACTCTAGAAACACCAAGAGCAGCTTTTGGATAGGGAGCAGAAAGTCGACACGCTGAGCCTGTCAGGCTCAGGAGAAGATAATGTGTAATGACCACATTACCATGGTCTAAAAACTCCTCCAATTGCATCCAAATTAGCAGAAATAATTATGATTCACTTTAATTAGTGACTCCGGAAGTGAAGCCTGGAGCTGGTGGGCAGAGTGCCTGGCATGGCAGCTGCGTGACAGCCAAGAGGGAGAGGACATCCCGGCCGGGAGGGCTGGTGGCCTGAGGGAGCGGCTGTGGTAACATCCGGGCCTGAGAACTCTTGCCTGCAAGCTGCACCCGCTTGTCTGCAGGGGTTCAGAGCAGGGGCTCCCTGCCACCTCCTCTCAGCACCGTCTGCCACCTTCACCACTGGCACCCTGAGAAGCTCCCAGGCTTGCCCCTCCCACACGGCTCCCACCACGTGAGTAGGCTCTACGTTGCCCCCGCTTTACAGACAGGGAAATGGTGATGCAGAGATCACCCAGTCTGGAGCCTTGGCTCCTGTCCGTGCATTCTTATTTCCCTTGTCTCTGAGCCCGGGGCCCCTCGATTCAGCTCCACGAAAGGCCTTGTCTGCCCCTTGCCCTCCCGGAGAGTGAGGTCTGCCCCCAACCAGCTGCAGCCTGCATCCCCCCTACCCTCCCAACTATGAGACCTGCTGGTGAAGGCCTCCTACCTTGAGATACAGCGCTCCCTTCGAGGCCAGGCTGTCGGAGAACCGCCCATTGGGGTAACAGTGATAGGCCACATCCATGATGGGGTAGCGGCTGGCAAAGAAGAGGCCGCTGTTGAGACACTTGAAGCTGCAGCAGCTGTGGCAGCCGTACACCCCGACGTCATAGAGGATGTACTCGAAGTAGCCGTGCAGCTGGTCTTTCAACTTGGCAGCCGCCCGCTTGTCAAATACCTCCTGCAGGCATAGGAAGTCCAGGTTGGCAGGGAAGAAGGCGGACACCTCGTGGTCAAAGGCCTCATCCGGGTGGCGCCTCCTGCGCGCAGCCGCCCTCTTCACCACCGAGGCCTTGTATGGGAGCTTGCTGTTGGTGCCCGGCTCACCACTGCCGCCATCAGCCCCAGCCCGGCCCTTCACCAGGGACTCCCTGGAGGCCGAGGGGCTGCCCAGGCTCCCCGAGTCCCCATCTCGCTGACTGTGGTTGGGTGTCTGGCCCCGTGGGCCTCCACCAGCCCCATTCCTGGCCTGGCCCCCATTGGGGGGATCGACGGCTTCGGGGGGCCGACCCCCCTCATCACCACCGATGCGCACGATGCAGGCATCCTCAAGGTTGCCTCCGTCAGCTGTGTCCCCGGAGGCCAGGCCGTTGGCAGCCTCGTCAGGATGACGCCCACCCTCGCCCTTGTACTCCACAGAGGCCGTCCTCTTGATGCTCCCGGGGACGGCCCGTGGCACACCATCACTGCCCTGTGGTGACACCAGGCTGCTGAAGCTGGCGGCGCTGATGGAGGTGTTGGTGGGCGAGTCGATGTAGATTTTGATCTGGGGTCTACTGGCCCCATTGCGGATTCTCTGCCCGATCTCTTTGGCACGGGCTTGGGTGTTGAAAACATTGTTGAGCCTGGCCAGCGAGTCTGGGAGGAGGCAGAGGTTGGCGGTGGCGAAGCAGAAGCTTTTGCCAGGACCCGTACCCTTCCATTCGCTGAGCAGGGCCGCCCCACCGGTGGGGCCCTTGTCCTCCAGCCGGGAGTAGATGTAGGGCCGGCGGGCAGACTGCAGTGGGGACCAGAGGAGGAAGCCAAGGAACGCGAAGGGCAGTGAGGCGACCAGGAGGGCCAGGTAGACGGGCGTGAAGAGCACGGTGCAGAGCAGCTGGAGGTAGCACGGGTCGTCTGCCCGCTGGCGCTTCTCGTAGGTGGTGGGTATGAAGGAGGCCAGGAGCCGGTCCGCCAGCCAGTAGCACGGGAAGATGAGGGCCCAGGACACGGCGTGAAGGGCGGACAGACAGCTGTTAGGAAAGGGGGTCGTGTACAAAACCATCGCAGCTCATTGGGCACCGCGGCCAGCCCTACTACATGGTGTCCCTGGCAGCGAGAGCACTTTCCTGGGGGGGGTTGGGTGAGTAGGGGAGGAGCTGGAGGAGGGTCACCTCCTGGTGAGACACGACTCTGGGTGGTCAGTGGTGTGTGTCGGCCAGCCAGTCATGGTTCCTTCAGTGGGCCATGCTGGGCCACCAAGGCTTGCTGGAGAACCTGCAAGACAGAAAGAATGGTTGCTGTTTAGTCACTAAATCATGTCTGACTCTTTGCAACCTAATGGACTGTAGCCTGCCAGGCTCCTCTGTCCCTGGGATTTCCTAGACAAGAATACCGGAGTGGGTTGCCATTCCCTTCTACAGGGGATCTCCCCGACTCAGGGATCGAACCCTCGTCTCCTCCATTGGCAGATGGATTCTTTACCACTGAGCCACCAGGAAAGCCCAAGACAGAAAGTGAGGGGCTTTTCTTCATCTTTAGTTGGGTAGATCAGATGCTGGGCCATTACTCACTCACCCTGTTCCTGCCTCCTCTGACCCCAGCAGGACTGCTCTGAGAATCAGCAGACTCACATGGAGGTGTTTGGGGCCAGAAGGCAGCCTGGCACTCTTTGTGTAAACACAGGGAAAGTGTTTGTTGGTTCTCTTGGAGGAAACTGACTGATGATGTGACTGCCTCTAGTTCATGGTTTGTTTTTTTTTTTTTGGCTGTGCCTTATGGCTTGCAGGATCTTAGTTCCCCGACTAGGGATCAAACCTGGATCTCAGGCATTGGAAGTTCAAAGTCCTAACCACTAGACTGCCAGGTAATTCCCTAGGTGACCATTTTGACCTTGTGACCTAACAGATTAGAAATTGGCCCAGGATTTGAGCACAGGCTGTGGGTGTACAGGATGCTGGCCTGGAGCCCATCGGGAGCCAGGGGTGTGTTTAGAACAGATGAGGGGTGAGCCTGAGTCAGGAGCTGTGGACACAGCCACCTGTCACCAGGTGCCCACTGGGTCAGGACAGTGAGGGAACAAACTGCAGAGAAAAGGGGCTAGAGGGTCCTGGGGCAGAGGGCAGTGTGGCTGTCAGGACCCCTGAGAGGAGGGCCCCCCATAACCAGGCTCTCACTGTGCCCCAGCCTGCAGCATCAGACCATCTCTGCCTTCCCATTCCTGCAGGAACCCCCGCCTGATGGGGACCCAAGCACAAAGCATGGCTCTTCCCAAGCTCCAGAATGCTCAGAGTCACCCAGTTACAGGAGACCCTGATAGTCCCTGTAACTTCCCCCTTAAGTCCCCGAGATAAGCCCCAGGGCCCAGCTGAGGCCCGGAACTGCCAGACTAAGTCCATCCCAGCCCATATGGGAGCTGCCATGGGTTTTAGAGCCGGCCCAGGGCCCCACCTGGGAGAGGCCGCAGGTGCATTCATTGTGCTAAATGTAGAATCAATAAAGACAAGATTCTGGAGTGTTTACCCAGCCTCCGGGGATCCAGGGTGATCATTCTGCAGTGCAGCTGGTACAACCATAACCCAGAGTTTTCATGACCAGATCAGCTGGGGAACTCATTTCCTGTCCATCATCTCACCAGCCCAGCTAGGCTGCTGCCGTGGCCCCTTGGGGGTCTGTGTCTCTGACGCCATCCATCCCGGCCCCATGCCCTCTCTTCCTCCTGCCTTCCTGGCCCACCTCACCTGGGAGTTGGATGTCATCTGGACTCTGCCCCTCTTCAGTCCCCACATCCCATCAGTCCCCACTACCCACCCAAGCCCCTGTGGAGCCCCCTCCTGCTCCAGGGCTGCATCAAGTGCCACCCACATTTTCGGCCTCTTCCCCATCAGGCCATCCTCCAGGATGGCTGGAGGGACTCTGATCTGATCTGATCAGGTTGCAGATGCCTCAGCCCCACAGAAGTCTCGCTCAGCCCCTGTTGGGCATTGCATCTCCCCAGCCAGGCCCACCCATGTCTACAGCCCCAGCCCTCTTCGTGTTCACCTCCCAGCCTCCAGATGTGATTTCCTGCCCATGCCCTGCTGTTTCCTCTGCCCGTCATCTAGTTCATCTCCTATCTTCTAAGACTCAGCTTAAAAATCACCACCTTAGGTCCTTCTCTCCCCCTGGCCAGGTGGCTTCATTACCTCCACTGGGGGTTCCCGTGCCCCTGTGCATGGCCTGCTCTCTGCAGTTCTAGATCATGACTGCGCGTGAGATGACGTTGCCGCCTTGCAGAACTGGGGGCTCCTTGAGAGACGGAGCTGCACTGAGGGCGCTGGGGCTCTTGGAGCTGTGCCAACAGGAGCTCAGGAGTAAATGCAGGTCAACCTGCCTCGCGGTCTAAGGAGGGGGAGTTTCCGTCACCCAGTTGCTGTCCTGCAGCCACTGTCTGACATGAGGGTGAGGCGCTCTCCTCAGAACAGAACTTCACGTCGAAAGGTAAACTTAAGCTGGTGGTTCTATCTGGTTCTATAGGATGCATTTCACAAAGATCTTTACTTCCTTTAGAGAATATCGCTTTGGGGGGGTGTCCTCACCCTGATGACCTCAGCTGTTTCAGGGTGCCTGTGAACTTGGGCCAGACTGTTGGGCTTAGGGCCCTAAGACCAGCTTTGTAACGACAGTGGTTGAAATTGGAAGGTTTGCTGCAAGCCTGCTGACCCTCTGTGCCGTGGTCTCCTGTGACCCCCCCTGCAGAGCAGTGTTACCTCTGTGGCTCAAGCTTGGAGGGACTGGTGGCCCAGGGAGGCCACACCTGCCATCTGACACACTCACTTGTTCTTTATTTAAATCCCAGCAGTTTCATGTGAGTTTAACCTGGAGGGTTGATAGCCCACTCATGTGCCCATGTAGCCTGATGGGTTTGCCCCCACCACCTCTGGCGCATAGCGTGTACACAGACCGGCACACATCATTGTGTGGAGCCTGCCAACTTCAGATTGGCTGGAACGAGAGCTACAGGAGAGGACATGGCCCAGAGGAAGGGCCTACAGGTCCTGTTCCTATGGCTGGGGAGGGTGCGGGGATTGTCCAGAAGTGCCCCAGTGGCCAGCAGCACCTGCGGTTGGTACCAAGGTGCTGAGGGTAAGGGTCCAGGCCAGACACCTGGGGACCCCAGGATGTTGCCCCAGTGTCACAGAGCAGGCCCCTCTCCTGTCTCCCTCCCCTCTTTCCTCCTCTGTAGCCTGAGGTCATCAGCCCGGCCCAACCAACACCATCTTCCCCTGAGCACCACCCCATCTGGTACCACCAGTTTCAGACTGCAAGCCCTAGACCCACAGTCTGCACAGTAGTCAGTGGAGCTTTGGAAACAATCTGATTATGTTCTCACTGTGGTGGTCTCATTGTCTCGGGGGACAAAGTCCAGTCTCCCAGTATCTGTCTAGGGGTCCTCTGTGCCCCTACCCTCCCTGGCCAGGTAAATGCAGCCTCGCTTCATAAAAGGCTTCCTGAGAGAAATTGTTTAACCTTCTGTTCTGTGTGGCTCATCCCCAACACTGGCTGGTCAGGGTTGGGATCTGCTACTGGCTGGGACAGGGCTATTGTCCCCCTGCAGCTTCCTTGGGTCCTCCTCACTCCTGCTGTGGCCCCAGGAACCCTTCTGGGCAAGTTTCCTCCCCAGCCTCGCTTGAGTGGTAGCTGTGACCTTTCTGTCTCCCCTGGATTGGTCATAGGAATGTTTTTTGGCCCCATTCAGGCATCGATGGGCTGGCAGCCCAGAGAACTACGGTGCTTCTCCAAGATGGGGTAGATCCAAGCACTCCGGCCCTTCACGGCTCCCCTGGGTCCCGTTTCCAGAACCCCCCACACCTCCCCCTCCCACAGTGTTCTGGACGGAGGGAAGCTCAAGTGCTGCCCCCCTGCCCTGTGGCCGCTCGAAGTCCCTGCTTCCAGGCACGGGAGCTGCTGACGCAGTTGACACAGAAGGGATTGCCACCAATGGAGCCAGTTCCTAAAGCTTTGTGGTTAATTATTTTGTCTCAGTGAAATGAAAGGAGGGTAAACAAACAGTAACACATTAATTAGTCTGATCTATACTTTCCCCACGAAAGAGAAGAGGGAAGTTAAACACTGGAGGCTGGCAGCTTCTCAGCCCGAGAGTCCTCAGCAGGCTGGAGGCAGGATGCGGGGCACGGGTGTCCAGCCTGTGCCCCCGGCCCGACCCGGCCAGAGTTCTTTCTCCAAGGGAGAACACCTGTCCCTCATCCCTGCCCAGGTCTCTGCTTATGTGTCCTGGGGTTGGCACCTCTGCCAAGCAAAGTCCACTGTGGCCATTTCTGGTGGAGCTGATGGGTCCCTTAAAGGCCCTGTGTGCTGAGCTGTGGCCAGCCAAGCCCACGGGCAGGGTTGCTTTTTTGAGGTTTCTGTTTTAAAGCCAACAGTCACTCCCAGGCTTATCCCTATTGTGAATCCTGGTGTGTGGCTTCCAGGGTAGCTTGGGATGACCTCTTCCCTAAAAGCAGTGTTTTCAGAACTCACCTGGCATTCCAGACACCCTCGGGTCCTCATTGTCACTTCTGAGCTCTGGGCTCAGGAAGGGGTCTACACAGCACCCAAGGGAGGGCTCCCAGGACTCAAAGACTCTGTTCTAAAAGCAGAGACCCCCTGACTCTCTTCCTCACCCCTGGCTGCATTGCTCAATGTTCAGGGCGGGCTCAAGGGTCAGGCTGACCTGATTGAAATCCTGGCACTGGAATCAGGCTCTGTCTCATCGTGGGAATAACAATACCTGCCTCCCAGGACCATCCTGAGGATTAGAGGGGTCACGCAGCTCACAGGGCTGACCCTACTTCCTTCCAACCTTCCCCTGCTCTTTGCAGGACCTCCCTGACCATCCTTCCCCTGAGGCTGGCCCCTATGTGCCCTGTTTGCTGTCCTTGACGTATAAACTCAGTGGAGTTTGCAGACAAGACAAGCTGGTTCTGTGTGCTGTTCTGTGGGAAGCCTGAACTCACCTGCTTGTAGGCCCCACACTGACCTGCAGTGCCTTCGGATCCTCAGAGGTGGCCTTCACTAACTTGTTCC